CCAAAAGACTAGGAGGTAGAACTGGAAGTTCTACCTTACTCTCACATATATAGCAGGACAGGACAGGACAGGACAGGACAGAAAGGGCTTAGTGTCACCCCGTGACACTAATGGATAAACTGAGATTTATAATCAGTATCTTTAAAAGAGACTCTAACCCTTTGTTTCCTATTATTAAAATAATTGATTAGAACTCTTATTGATGATGGATTACACACAACTTATCTTATCTCATAATTCTCTTGATAATATTTCTTTATTTGAAGTTATACACGGCTATCCCCTATAAACCTCTTGGGATTAAAAGTTTTATAACATTGAAACCAAGGATAAGCTTAATATAGATAAAATCCGTATTATAGTTTAACAATATTATAATATATGGAAACTCATTATAAAATACTTTATAGATGCTCAAAAAAAAGCCTAGTTCAAGATTAATACATATTGACAATCTATTGATTTTAAAGTAAGCGATTTTGTATGACTTGATATGCAATATTATCGAATCGAGCGCTCTTCAAGAAAGCTAGATTTTCTAATAAACGGTAAGTTTCTTATTATCGAAAAGATAGGGTATTCCTTTAAGCTAGTGCTATCAGATATAATAAAAATTTTCGATACATTTCTAGTTGAAAAGCTACGAAAAACTATGAATAACCCTTTTTCTGGTTAAGTAAACAATTCTAACCCTTCAATCAACATTATTGATAAAGAAAAATAGAAAATCAAACAAATTATAGCTTTAAAGAGTATTTGTAATAATATTTACTATTAAGTATAATGGCGTAATTACAATATTAACCTTACTTGGTACACTGCTGATAATTTCAAATACTTTCTTTACAAACTCAAAGAGTATCACCTGGCCAATCAAGACTTTTCCGATCTGTCTAAAACATTATCTCAATGACTGAAATACTACAAAGATGGTAATAATAAGTATAATGATATTGTTAGAGATAAGGAAATAAATAAACACTCGAAAGCAAGCTTTTTTCAGACCAGGGGGTAATATAACGATTCAGTCCCTTTCAGGTTCCTTTCTCAATCACTTAGCTTCTAGAACCTTAGCCTAGCACATAACTCATTGGTGTATATAGTCCGGAGTCCTTACAATTCTCTTCTTATTCTTTTCTTCCTTCTTTAGTTTTAGATTCTAAGGTAGAATTGAATCCTTTTATAACAGTCCTTCACAATTAAAGGCTTTCTTTATATTTATAAATAGAATTGAGATCTTTTTGTGAATTTACTTATTTTTTTCGATTTTTATAATTAAAAGAAAAACTATATCAATTACTGATTTCTTTTGTCGGTTTCCAATTTGACTTTTGTGTAATAAACTAATAGTTTTTACTAAATAACCTAATCTTTAAGCTAATATCCTTTTGCTAATCTTTTCAAAACAGTTTAGAAATATAATAACTCTATATACTTTTGAAACGAAATAGTTAGGTTTTAAGGCTTTCTTCAAAATCACTTTAATAATTTGTTTTTAGTATTGTGGATAATATTCAAGATTGATTAGATTACTAAATAAATTAAAGAAGATCTATGGAATTGTTTTATATACTTTCATAATAATCTCTTGAGTGATTCTATTTGGGTTAGAGGTTTTTCCTTGGATTTTGATTAAATAGATATTATTTAATTTGATTTATAAAAAATTAGATCATTTCTATTTTTTGGATTGCTTATATTCTTTTTATTATAGTTTTGAAGTAATTGGGGGGGGTGGGAATAGAGTCGATCTGAAAATAGAGCATTTTTCTTTAAAAGAGCTTTTGGTTGAAATATCCGATATCCTTTAATCTTAATAGTCTTTTATATAGACCATTGCTTTTGAATATTATCTGTATATCCTTCTTTTCTAGAAATTTATTCCAATAATTCTTTTTTACTGTTTTAATAGTCTGAAAGTATTTATTTCTAGCAATTCGATATTCCTCTTTGAAATTTGAGTTTTCCAATCAGATTTGATTAATTATTTTACTTTTCCTAATACTTTTCGAAATTCTTTTAGTTTGGGTGTTTATTATAGTTTTTCCCTTTTTTCCAAACTAATTTTAAATATAGATTTTTTAGTAGCTTTTTGAATAATTCTTATAAGTTTGCTTACTATTTGATTCAGATTAAAATAATCATTTCTTTCTTTTAGATTATTGAGCGAATCCTTTTTAGATAAAATTGTTAATATCAAAGTAAAAAGAGTAGGAGAAAATAAGGTTTCTGATTTCAATATCAATTCGAATTTATTCTAATTAGCTAGCTTGGTATTATATTTAGCTAGCGATATTGTATTATGGGAACTTGATTCTTCTTTTTCTTTAAATTCAAATAATATTTCTATATGATCGAATTCTATATTTGATAATATTTGCCAGTTTTGGATTTGAGAAACAATTCCTTTTAAAACTAATGTGAAATCGATAATACTTGGATTAAGGAGATTATTATGATAGAAGGTATTAAGACCAGGCTTGTTTAGAAGAATGAGATTCTGATCTTTTAGTTATTTGGCTAATTGATTAGTGTTTCCGCTTTCTTCGAAAAAGGATCTTATTATAAGTGATGGGAGTTGAAGTTGTTTATAAGAATAGTTTTTTGTATAATTAATGAATTATATAAGTATCTTTCAAATATAAAGCTCTTTTCTTTAGCTTAATCAACTTTATTATAGATATTAACAATTTAAAAAGCTTTATTTCTATTTTGATAATCGAAGATCTAAATATCAGGATCTTTTGGAGAATTAGAAGAAAGATTGATTATAAATTAAAGGGTTTTTGAGGTGTATAATAATATTCATAATCGATATTTGAAATCGAATTTCAAAAGTGTTTGTATAAAATTAGGGTGTATAATCGATTTAGCATTTGAATAATTATTTCCGTTTTTGATAATTTAAGGTTCTTGAATAGTAATAAATTGATATTGAGTTTTATTACAATTTATAAAATGTTTTCTATAGTTTATAAATTCTGATTGAAATTTATTTAAAGGATTCAAATATTGATATAATTTATTAAAAGTATTATTCGATTTTTATTAAATAGCCTAATAGGTTTTATATATTTTCGAATTTGCTATATGATTTCCTTAACAATTCGAGTATTTCACTACTAAATGTTAATAGAATTTTCCTCTAATATTATATATTATATATAAGTGTATTAATATAATATACTTATCTTTATATAAACCATAAAAAGGGTTTCTTTTATAGTGAGTATTCTAATATCTAAACCCTTGATATTTCTGATATTGTAATAGTTGATTTTGATTTGTAGAATTTTTCTATTCTTATATTACTTCTGTGACGATCTGGCCTCAGGCCTAGATTAGTCCATCCATTTGCCCCACCTGGCAGGTCAAATCTCGCTTCGCTTTTGGTCCCCTCTTGGTCCCCTCCTGGTCCCCTCCGGACCTATAAAAGCCTCTTACAGGTTCACCCTTTGTACAGTAGTTTGTTATTCTCTAGTATCGATAATTGATTCATTTACTATCATGTCGTGAACCTGTTGTCGTCACAACTTCCAGTAAAATATAATTGCTTTCAGATAGTTAATTCCGTTTTTAATTTGGTAGCAAAAGTAATAACTATAGCTCTCTCTTATTGATAAGCTCTTTTCAAAATAGGAGTAAGCTAGAAAGAGATTCCTATAAACTTGAAGTCAGAATTGAAGATCTTGATTTCGTTTAAGATAAGATCCATTCTCTTTGCTCCTAAGAATTCTTTAATAGGGACTTTGTGAATAATAACTTTATACTATTCTTAATCCTTTTGAATCCTTTTGAATTTGATAATATTATTTCAAATAGCTTTTTTTTTTATTAAGAATTATAATATAAAAGGATTGTTTATTGTAATAATAATATTGTTATTGAAGGATAAAGTAATTGTTATAATAATTAATCCTTTAATTCCAGTCTTTTGAAAAGCTTATTTATTTTGTTTCGAATAATTAAAAAGGAAAAGAAAATGGGTTTGAGATTTCTAGTTTAATTAGAATAAGTTGTTTTTAGATTGAATCTATCTTTTCCTTTATAAGGATTGATTTATGCTTTTTTTGAAACTAGATTTTATTTTTCTTCTGAAACTTTTGTATATATTGATTTTGATATTGGGATAATATAAATATAGAAATTATAATTTAGGGCTTTAGCTTGGGATTCGATTTTTCGAATAACTGATTCGAAATAGGTGATTTAAGAGATAATGATTTTGGAGGTTATAATAAGGTTTTCCTTTTCAATATACTTTCTAAAGATTTCTAAAAGATTTAGAAGCTTGGATTGTTTGTTGTATAATTGAATAAATATTAAAGTTAGTATTATAAGATCTCTTGCTTTCAAAATAACTTCTTTTGAAGAAAAAGGGTTATCTTGAATTTTGGATTGTTTGTTTTGATTACCGAAAGGTATTGTGGGGCTGCATTTCTTGTTTTGATTAAAGATATAGGTAGTATTATTTGTATTTTGAATGAAAAAGAGATCACTAAGTAAATTGATTTCTTTATTTCTTTTTTTGAAGTTAATTAATAAAATTGGACTGGAGATTTCGAATATAGAGGTTTCAGAATGTAAATGGGGACTTGATATAGGAGTATCTAATATGATTGTAGGATAGGTATTAGATATAATAAAGACTTTGGGAGAAGCTTTTATTATATTAGTATTCTTCAATATATTTGAGGAATTCATTTTGGGGATTGTATTTCTGTTCTAGAGATTAGAATGAAAAGTTTTCTACACAAATTTTCGTATGTATTTCGTGTTTTGGGATATTAACAATAGTATTATAATAATTACTGGTTTAAATCAATTGGGAGGAATTGCAATGATTTGGTTTAGTAACTATAATCTATAGTGATTGCGAAACGGTCGTATTTCGAAGAAAAAGTTTCCTTCGAAATTTGTTGTGTGTATTGGTATCTACAGTCATACCCATGTAATACATAGATTTAACGGTCTTTATATCCAAAAGCATCCTACCACGCTCAATAAGTTGATCTCGATCGATCTTTTGGCGAGCGAATCGAAAGGGGAATATCGGTAGAGATCTAATTGGCTTTTCGCCATCGTACCGCGAGATAGAAAATTCGACGGATACTGGGCCCAAAAACTTCCCATCAAAATCAATGTAAACGCAATATATTTGGAAAGGCTTTTCTGAAGACTCTTCATCAGAATTCTTGTAGAATCTTCTTGCCCATGAAGGAGTGGAATCATGAACAGGAGTCTCAACTCGGATAACTCGGAACGTCTGTCGCTCGGCTTGATCAATGACTTCATCGCCCGGTTTGTAAAGATGCCAAAGATCATTGAATGATATATCCTGGAAAGTATTTCCATTTAAGAGATTCAACTTCGGTTGTATCTTGGTATCTATAAAATTAAGGACGCAGCGCAGCTGCAGTGCCTCCCTAATATCATTGTTGTCAACACCTTCACCTTCTCCAGGGATATAGTCATCTTGCTTGCTAGTCGGTTGAGTATTTTCAGGCTGAAGAATGTCTGTCTGACTCGCTGATATCGTTTCATCATCATTTTGGGGTGAACATGTTCTCATTTCATCCTTTTCGCTTGACTGATTCTTTTCTAGCTTCGCCAACCTATCTCGCATTTCCGTTTCGCAATAGAGAAGAATCTTGTACGGTCGCAGAATAGTGATTCCAACTTCAGTGTAATCCATTGAGGCAAAACTGTCGGATATAACGGACAAAGCATCAAAAAGAGACTTAGAAACAATCTTGATCCTTTCAGGAAGAGGATCTTGTACCCCAAGATTGTCTTTCTTTGCAATTGCCTTCGTTTCTTGGGGTTGCTTCATTGTCACATCCGATTCATTTGGCAAGACCACATATTTCTTGAATCCAATGCCTACTTCCGGTTCTCCAACCAAGACTTGAATTGGATGCAATATGGAATCTTGGCCTTTACGTAAAGCACTAAAATATTTCCAATCCATATACTTCGGGGTTAATGCTTCACCCTTCATAACGAGTTGAGAAATTAACAGTTTCTCTTCCGTTTCAACGTCTGAATTTGGGGCATTTTTGACCTGTGCTGTTTGCTCATTCCTGCTGCGTAGGCCTGGTGGGCTTTCCTCGGATCTTATCTCCCTTTCAAGTTTCCGGCGCATTCTTCTCCTGATCGTAGATTCAAGGGCACGATTTAAAAGTAATTTTTGATATTCGTCTTCTGTGTCTGAATCGTCATCAATATCTTTGATGTCATGGCTCAGACTGGATTGTTTCTCTTGGTTTATGCGCTGCATAAAGCCATCCATGAACGCAAGTTTCTGCTCAAACGCCTGAAGCTTTTCAAGAACCTGCTGATGTTGTTCACGGGGTACGAAGTCTGACATCCCGTTCTGCACATAGGCAGGAGTTTTGTCACCGATATCTTGATTTTTTTGAACAGAGACCATCTCATCATGGTCTTCAGAGCTGGCATTGCCTGAATCTCTATCAAGAACAGCTGGTGGCGTTTCATCGGGAATAAAGTTGGATGGTTCCATAATGCATGAAAAATGATCAATGTGCACAGTAGAATGTAAGAGAAAGGATAAATCCGAGTTCAATGTTCCTGGAGTGATGAGAACGACCAAAAAGTTGAAGATCGGAGAGAATTTATGTACTCGTATTACTTTTCTTTTCAGTCCGAAGCGCTGCAAGATCAAGATAAATATTTTCGTGTAGGTGGGATTGCATTTATGCAAGATTAATGCAGCATATCAACTGAGAAGCAGTCACTTCCAAATAAATAACTACAGCCTGTTTTCAGCGAATGAATTTTCCCTGTAGGTAGCCAATCTCACATACTCCTGCCAAATCCGTCTTTTGGGACATATCGGCAGAACACCCATCACCTGTCTGGACCAATGAATGAAAGCAAAGGGGTAGGGAGTATCGGCCAATCATGGCTTGTACCAAAATTGAAATACGGATAATCGAATAATGAAATCAAACCACAAGAATTCGATAATCAGTCTTCAGAATCCAATTTTTTAGTCTTTGTTTCTCTGACTACGATGGATAATCACTTAGCTCAAGACGTTCCTACCCCGCGGCTTCATCTTCATTCTCCTGCCGTGGATTTTGTAGAAAACAGACTCCTTCAATACCATCCTGCCTTCAATCAATCAAATATGATCCTTGATCCAGTATTACATCGATTTGTCGATGCCTCATCAATTGGCGTTATGCACTTGCAGCCTTATGGAAACCAGCATGTACAGCCGACACCTCGGCCACTACCACCTAAAGTCGAGGCAATGAAGTTCTGGGATAAGATTTTCCCTTCAGCTATGAAATGCCTAAGAGCTTGTGAAGAGCCGTACGATCACAGGAAATCTGAATTTGAAATCCGAACCTCTCAAGCGTGGGTAGAAATCTGTCGTCGTTTGGAAAATGCAAGAGAAATCTACGAGCATCGGGTCGCAGCAAACAAGGCTGAAAAGTTGATCAACAAGGCAAGAATAGGATTGAGAACAGGCATGGACAAAGGTGCTGGTCCGCTTAAGCAGGCAGCTCAATTTGTTCCAGATATAGACATTGCCAGTCCGATTATTGGGGCAGTCAAAGTGCTTTTCGGTGTGAGTTGGGTCTATATCATAACATTCAAGTGACATGGAGTTATTAATTAGTTTTACTAGGCATACCAAAATGCAATGAAAGTCCGTGAGGTAATCAATGATGGTTTCGACGATCTTTCCACTGGCATAGCGTTTATCGACATCGACTTTTACGTCACCCAATTTCCAAATGACCCAAACATTATCAAGACATCTGAGGATTTAGTCCTTGCCATATTCAAGGCCGTTGAGCACGCAATTGGATTTTATATAGGACATCAGAGTAAAGTTGCCAATTGACATTATTATTAATGTGCGCAAATGATGAACCTCGCTGACCCTTGCCGTAGTTAAGAGAGCTATGTCGGCCGTATTTGGAGGTGACAGTTATCAGGAACGTTTGAAAAATAGTCTCAGTGATATAAAAAGTTGTAGCCGATTGCTCAAATGCGAAGGAGAGAAATCCGAGTTCCATTATAACAGCGAATCTCGCCGACAAGACAGACAAGAATCAGCGACAATGTCATATCAATTAAACGCGACGAACCAGTTCCTTTATTTGTTGTTCGAAAGTGAAAGACGTGAGGATTTATATCTTGGAGAATATCTTTGTGGTTGCTGACCAAAAGTTACAGGGCATTATCAATCACTCGCCGAACAAATATACACTATCTCGAGAGCACCAAGCCCACAACCTGTGATTCAAGCTATATATACCCCCAAACATATCTGGAAAATGCTTCACATTCCCAAATTAGACGATGTTGATATATCGCATAATATGAGTCGAGCAGCAAGCTTTCTACCTGAGGACAATGGTCGCGCAGAGCAGCTTGTCGGTACGACACAATTTCAAACATGGATTTTAGATCACAGAATGAACAAGTTACTAGTCCACGGTGACTTTGGCATTAATAAACCCGAATCACCATTCTCGGTGCTCTGCGCCAAGCTTATGCAAGCGTTGCGTTCTCAGTCTGGTTTTATCAGTCTTGTGTTCTTCTGTGGATGCCATCGAGCACCACGTGATCACCACTCAGGGCCACTGAATATGATTCGAAGTCTTGTTGCGCAGGTTCTAGAACAATTTACGCAGATTCCTGATACGCTCGCGAATGATGTGAATCTTGCCAGCGTGGACGCTGGAGAAATCCAACATTTGTGTACACTATTCGTGTGTCTTGTCAGACAGCTTCCTGCGACGACCACAATCGTCTGTATGATTGACGGCATACAATTCTATGAGCAAGATCAGTATGAGAATGATATAGAGTTGGTGTTAGGTTGTCTACTTAGCCTAGCTGAAAATGAGGACCCGAGCATAAGCGTTAGGTTCAAAATACTCTTAACAAGTCCTAGGCTAACAACACGAGTGCGAAGGCGTTTTCAGATCGGTGTTTCATTGTTAAATATGGCATCTATTACCTCTAATGAGCAAGGTCCAAGTCAAGCGCGGCTTGAGCGTCAACTGGCGAGTTCTGGGTTTTCAAGATAAAGGAATTGGGATGAAGCTTCAGATCCAAACTATCATGACTTGTCGATGGATTTCATTGAAACGCTCGGATGATTAAAGGTGCTAGTTTTTGAATGTGTGATTTTTATTTTCAATACAAAAACTTTTTAAACAACTGCATTAGTAGGCGTGCGCGCGTATCATTGTCGCGTGACACAACGCGCTAATATGCCTCCTCGAAGTAAATAATCTCAACTCAAAAGATTATTCTCGAAAACATCATCAACACACCAACACATCAATTCAACCAAGCACAAGAATAACCCAACCCAACTATTCAATCCCTCAACACCCACCTTGTGAACATGAATCCCAACCAAAAAAACCCTCTCATCATCTGCCGATGTAAAAGGTACTGTTGCCAAGCCTGCTACCGATCTTGGCAATGTTCCTGTTACCACCACTGCTCTTGTTACTTTGAATCCGCACATAGATTTAGAGCTTATGCGAATTGATCATAGGAGTACTATAGATCAAATCAATGTTCTCGAGGCTCATGTTGTTACTTTGAAAGAAAGAGCTTCGATGTTACAGGAGAGAATAGAGAGATTAGACTCTATTAATGAGGTTTCGACGGCGGAAGTTACTTATGACGCTAGGAACAGAGGATTGTTGTTACCGGCAACTCAATCTGCTGTTGCAGAGAAAGAGTCACTGTCGATTGAGAGATGTAAGTTTTTAACCTTTGAATTGCTTTTCATGACTAATTAATTGTAGCCATGGTACCTGCGAGATCTGCGAGAAGTCGTGGGAGAGGCCGTAAGAATCGTTCAAAAGTTACACACGCATCCGATCTTCCTGGTGATCATCTTCAACATGATTGTGTTAACACTCCTGTTACGCCTCTCGTTACCCCTTCTCAAATACTTATCGACATGTCTCCCGATGTTACCTCTCCTGTTACTACCGCTCTCTTTGTTACTGTACCAATCAATAGCAACTCCCCCCCCCCCCGTTGCCATTCCTGCATTTGTGGAAGAGGATCGATGTCCTCAAAATGCAGAAGAGGAAGTCATCTACGAAGCTTGGATCCGCTGGCGAGTCTTGAAATTTTTTGAATTTGCAGAACGGGTTCGAGTGAATGCTTAAGATATTGATGTTTCGGAGACCAAAACTGCTGGTGTTATGTCATAATGTGTTTTTATAGGGTGAATTTGAACAATTGCAAGCATGATGATTAAACTATAAACCATGTTCCACCATTATTTTGGTATGTCTTCATGTGTAATGTGGGAATAACCTGGAAGGGATTATCAAACTGTGCAATATATGTAAGATTATATTTAAACCGCCATCTCGTATTAGGGGATAGACACAACAAATTTCGAAGGAAACTTTTTCTTCGAAATACAACCCTTTCGCAATCGATTTAAATCATAATTATTAAACCAAATTGATTGCAATTGCCCCTAAGTGATTCTGATTAGTAATTGTTATGATACTATTATTAGTACTTTAAATACAAAACTCATACAAAAATTCGCATAAAATTTTTACTTTAAATCTTCAAAATAAGAATATAATTCCCAATATAGATTGTTTTAATAATTTATCTCAAGGCGGACGATGATCTTCCAAACGATTCACTACACAATCAAACACACAAAGGGACCCTCCCCTAGAAAAGAACGATCTCGACTGAAGAAATAGAAAAGCACGTCATAAAAGCTTTGTGTACTGCACCAGAAGTGGATCGAACCATTGTACGCCTCCTTAAGATATATTAACCGAGCATCAAGTCATTGATCCGGGAGATATTTGTATTATACCTAGCTCTAAATTATTATCCAAAAGGATAGAAACTAATAAGATAGTAATAATTCCCAAGGTAAATAAGAAAGATAAAACATCACCACAGTCATAGCAACCAATAGCCCTAATCTCTTGCATCAGAAAGAGTCTCGAACAATATATAGCCAACCAAATATCTTGAACAGTTTTGAGATATAAAGTAATCAGCCCACAATACTACAAAGCGTTCCCCAAAAGATTAAAAACAAATCTAACAGTTATCTTCACTTACAACACAGAGCTCACATTAGCAATTAGCAATATGGTTTCGATTGTTATTATGGATGTATAAAAAGCTTTTGATACTTTTTTGAAGTATCAACTCTTGAGCCGAATAATCAAACAAGGGTGGCTAATTTCATTACTCAAATTGATAGACTTATTCCTTACAAACAGAAAAATCAGAGTGAGACTCGAAAACATTACAACTAAGAAATATCTAATAGCATACGATACTCCTTAGGGGTCCCTATTATTACTTATACTCTATATACTCTATCTTGTTGAGCTTCTCAATCAAGATACGAAATTCTGTTTTGGCTATACAGATAATATTGCGATCTATCACTCTTCCAAGCATCTTTTTACAAATACTAGAATCCTGCAACAACAAGTACAACAGATCATTAAATGAGGCAAAGAGAATAGAATCCTATTCGTCCCTAAGAAGTTCGAATTACTTTATATTACCAGACAATATGATATTACTAATTCACCTTTAATAGTAAATCCAGATCTGATAATCACTCCAATACCGATTATAATGAGTGAAAGCACTTAGCCTACTCTGAAGTAACTGGGTATCTTCTTTGATTACCGGCTTTTGTTTTTATAATACATCAAAACATATATAGCGAAAGCTATAAAAATAGCTTTGTATATCAAATCGATTGTTTGCATTATACATAGACCATTAGCTTCCTCTTTAAGAAAAGCAGTAATCATCTGCATTTTTCTAGTAGCACTATTCGATACAGAAGTATAATATACTGATAAATATAAGCCTGGCTTAGGCCAAAGCGATCCAAGTATAAGTGCAGATATAAAAGGTTATCTCCATTACATTAATAGAGTAATCAATATTGCTGTAAAAGAAGTGATTCTAATATACAAAACGATATTAATTGCAGCTTTTATCAAAAAAACAGGCCTGTTATTGGGGATAATCGTATTAGAATATGCCAAGTTGCAATTCGTATTCTAATTAAAAACAATCAATAATCAATACTTACTAGTAAATCATTTAAAGCTAGTAATACAAAAACGCGGATAAGGAGCAAGTATAGCAAGAGGGCCTCTTACAAGAATCCAGCGGCTTAGCCGTCTTATCCCAGAGATGCAATGCTCGAAACTATTCTATTTACACTTCTCGATTGGCTATAGAATAAATTCAATGGAAGGATTAATCAAAAAAGAAGCAGTTCAAGTTTTTAAAGAGTAATGGTGATAATTCCTATCCAAAAACTATACGATCTTCTCTAACGGATTAGAACAAATTATTGATTGTAAATATTGTATTGACTATAGATATATAATATATCATAATAATACTCAAATAGCCTCCGGATTTAAGTAGATCCAAAGCGATTCATATATATTCGATACAAAAGCAATAAAAACATAATATAGATTGAAGTATCTAATCATTATACTTGAAGATCCCTTAAATAACCGGATCTGGATATATATTAATAGTATATTGGTCATCTGGAATATATATAGAAACACATCACTCACAACATAATAAGCCTTCCACAAGTATCACAAAGCAATAAAACAACTCGACGTCAGAATAAAGTGGTCACCTGGATATATAAAGATCGAAGGTAATAAAGAAACAAATCGCTTAACAAACATAAATGCAATTGAGTTTATAAACCAGATAATCGACAAGTTACCAATAATCAATAGGGTCTGAACATTGTTTGTCAGAAGTGTCTACATACAGAATCTACCTGGTGGGAAGAGATAAACTCCTCTTTTTCCGTTAACTACAAGGAGTAGTCTCCTAGATACAATACAAAGGAGCTAAAGGAATTAATTCTATCAAGAGTAGTTTTATATTGACTGATAGCTATGAAAACAGGCTATGGTAATTACACCACTTACCATCAGCGATTTAGTCATTAAAATAACAAACTGGATTGCTTATACAATAGCGCTAAGGAATTATATTACTTCTTTAAATGTATTATAAACAATCTAAAGCATTCAGACTAACCCCTTGCCCCTATAAAAATACAATCTAACAAGCAAGTAATCACATATATCAAGAAACTCTTATACACACCTAACAAGCTTACTCAGTTGATTATCGACTCAGAATTCTATATTCAAATCTATCCTAATTACTAAAAGACCCTTAGAAAGCAATAATCTTTTTAATAAAGCTTGTTATTCATTCCTTATAAACTCACCACTCAATTAATTATTCGAATATATTATATCTCTAAAAATCGCAAACCCAATATATAATATAAAAGCCCTATTACTCGACTAAACAAATAGCAATCTACTTTTGCTTTTTCTCCTTTATTATAAGAATCGAAGCCTATAACAAGCCTATCCACTCGAAAATCAAGCTTTACCTTAATAACAATCCGGATTAGACATTCCCTTTTGAAAACAAAAGCAGATCGTACTTATAAAGAAGCAAATAGCCCCTGGTATTGAAGTTAAATTACTAAATTTGGTTACGACGATTATGCCGCTCAAATAATTCCTTATCTTAGCATATCTAAATACCCTTAGGGAGGTCCAAAACAGACGTTAATTAATATAAATAAATAAATAAATAAATAAAAAATTAATAATCTATCAATATTTTGGGATATAACTATAATAAAAACTTTTTCTAAAATCTTTATTATATTAAATACTTATTCTATTATTATCCTAGGTATTCTAATACCTTTAAGCCTTCTTCTACCTTTTGAAAACCTTCAATTCAAAATCTCTAACCTTATTTTATTAATTAATCAATTAATTGTTTTTAAAAAAAAAATCGAAAAATTTAATCTATTTAATAACCCTTTTATTACTCAAGATATAACCAATATTACCTATATATTCAATCAGAATAAAAAACATAACTTTATAATATCTCTTAGTAATCAGAATAAATAATCTAGAATACAAAATAAACCAATTATATTAAAAAAAGCAATCCTAAAAGCAAAAGATCTTATATTACTAGTATCCATTCTCACTCAATTACATAACAAACAATCTAAGCTTCTAGATTTTTTTGAAATCTTTAGAGAATATACCGAAAAAGGAAAGCTTATTACAACCTTCAATATTATTGTATCTTAAATCACTCACCTCGAATTAGCTACACAGAAGATCGAATCACAAGCTAAAACACTAGCCAAAATCCAATCCCAACCACTACAATACTAACTAAACCTAATTATATAATTATAGTAAAAGAAAGAGAGTGGAATCTAGTTAGTAAAGGAAAAGCTATTAAGCCTACTCTAATAAACAAAAAGATTGAAATCATTCAAAAACATTTAATCTTAATTAAATCAGAGATTACGAATATTACCTCCTTTTCGTTTATATCAATACAAAACCAAATAAACAAAGTATTTCAGAAAATTGGAATCAAAGACCTAATCATAATAATAATAACCCTATCACTAAATAATAATATAATAATTACTATAAATACTCCTTTTATATTATAATTTCTATTAGAAAAGAAAATAATCTAAAATAACCTTATTAAATTCAAAAGGATTCAAAAAAACTAAGAATAATATAAGATTATTATTTATAAAATATTTATAAAAGAATTCTCAGAACTAAAAGGAATAAATCTTATTCTTAAAGAAATCAAAACCTTTAATCTGGATTTCAAATTTATAGGAATACCTTTTTAGCTTATTTATTTATTTATTTATTTATATTAATTAACGTCTGTTTTGGACCTCCCTAAGAGTATTTAGACATGCTAAGATAAGGAACTATTTGAGCGGCGTGATCGTTGCAACCGAATTTAGCAATTTAACTTCAATGCCAGGGGCTATTCGCTTCTCTGCAAATGCGATCCGCTTCTGTTTCCAGAAGGGAACGTCTGATCCGGGTTGTTATTGAGGTAGAGCTTGGTTCCCGAGTGGATAGGTTCGTTGTGGGCTTCGGTCCCTATGGTAGAGAAGAAGAAGTGAGAATGGGTTGCTATTTGTTTAGCCGAGCAGTAGGGCTCTTGTGTTATATATTGGGTTTGCGGTTTTTAGGGTATAGTATATTCGAGTGATCAGTTAAGTGATGAGTTTATAAGGGATAGGCAGCAAGCTTTGTTGAAAAGATTGTTGCTTTCTAAGGGTTCTTTAGTAGTT